AGCGAGGTGTGCTCTGATTAGCCAGCTATCCAGTGCATTGTGATTGGCCGAATACCTCAAGCGTGTGATGGAAATGTTACGGCCCTTACCATATTGTGATGCCGTGTCCCGGCCGGAGCGACGAGACAAAAACATTAAAACCCATTATAAACGAGGCATTTGTTGCATCCAGTGGGGACATAATTACGGATTATAATTACTTATACTGTCTTTTTACGCGTTGCGTTGCATCGCGCCGCATAAACATAAATCCATCTCTGCATTTGTGATCGGAGAAATGACAAAAAACAAGCGCTACTCTACACTGCTCAAAACTCGCATTTGAATCGTCAGTGGCAAATTCTTTAAATATAAAAAACTTACTTACAGTCTGTGAGTCAGAACAGCCGGCATTGTAGTCTACTCTCCCAGGATCAGGAAACAGTCCTCCATAAAATGCGCTGCACACATCTGAATATTTGAGTTGAACTGTTCTGGAACAGTGTTGTAAATACAACTTAACCACTGATTTCTAGTTGTGTCCTCTTTTGGAAGGCCAAACAAAGTAGTTTTGCTTTCACAACGAAACACACAGCGTCACACATGGCGGGCTTGAGTGAGCGGCGGCCGGAGGCCTAGAGTGAGGAATGGCCGGCGGGCTTGAGAACGGCATGGCCAGCGGATTCGATAAAGGAGCGGCCGGCAACACTCCAAAAAGAAAGGACAAATTGAAATCGCATCATATGACCCCTTTAATAGTTTTGTCACAGAAACGCATAATTCCGAGTCTGAGGAAGTAAACAGCTTCGAGTAGAATGTCACGGGTTGTCATCTAGTAATTACGACATGGCATGAATGCAGCACAATTATGTTTAAAATGTACATATAATGTATATTTGTTTTTTAGGGATCCATATGTAATTGCCCTAAGATCAGTTGCTCTACCCTCTCACCCACCCACAGAGGAATTCCACAGGGGTGAGGTGGTCTGTGCTGGGTTCACCATTTATGAGGTTTCAAAAAGTGTCTCGAAGGTAGGAAAATACTAAATGATGGTCACAATGTACTTCACACTGAAGTGTCTTATAGGTTTTCTGTTTTGCCCTCAGATTTCCTACTATAATCAGGCCAGTCCAGAAGTCCTGCCATACATCTCCACTGACATTGCAGGCCTCTCGTCCAGTTTCTACTCAATATTCTGTGCATGCAGGCAGTATCTACTGGACAACATAATCAGCACATCTGCATTCACCCCTTCTGCATTATAACTGGCAGCCGCTGGGCTGAACTCATCATGATGTGCTACAACTGATATTTCAGTTTATGCTTTTACAGGGGCCATTTCTAATATTTTTGTAGTATTTTTAATTTCTTCCCACTTAAGTTTATTAGGGTTAAGCCAGAAATAAACTGTTTGAGTTCAGACACTCAAGAGGTTGTGAGACATTGCACACGTTATGTTATCAGTTAACCTGATAAATGTGTCAAAGCAGTTGAAACACGGCACGACTGTACTGTATGGCAATCGCGTGAAGTTTTGAATTTGAGGTTGAATTTTCAATGTTGCTGCTACTGCTTTGGAAAGAAAAAGAAAAAGAAAAAAAAAACTTGACTGTGCAAGTTTTAGAGAGAGAACAGCAAAGTAATTTGGTTAAAAAACTGGAGAGTCTGCACTCTCCAGATGTGATGTGTCTGTGTCTGATTTGGGAATGGGGAGAACTCTGGTCAAATTCAGGCCGACCCTCTGAATTTTTGTCAACATGTTTAAAAATTATTGGGAGCACAGGAGGTTTGTAAGGTACTTGGCTCGATTTGTAAGACTGGATGGCGCAAAATAATACAATAGAAAAAAGATCTTTCTCTGGCATTTCCCTCACTGTTTGCTCAGAACAAATATATTCACTCACTGAATCTGTCTCAAGGATTATTATTGAAACTTTGAATTACATGACTATTTTCCATCCCTTCTCTGACCTTTGTAAGTAAACAGGTCGGTTTTGTATTGTTCTACATGTAAATTACCTCTTTTTATGAGACCTCTTTTTAACTACTTACGCTCAGGGGCGTTTTTGTGTATTTTCGCCTAAATTTGACATACCCAAATTCAAATGTTTACCCTACACACATACAATGGAGGAAATAAAAAAAAATGGTGTCATTGTATAGAAAACCCTTTGAACTACAAAATATGGTTGTAATTCTTCATAAATAACATTATATATGTTTGAAATATTACAATAAACACTAACAAAAAAGCGCTTTTTGATTTCTTTTCAGATTTTTTTTTTTGAAAGTCTGTTATTCAGTTTCTATTTGCTCCAGCTCTCTGCAACATATATTGTTTGATTCCACTAGGTGCCAAGATGTGCCAGAAAAAAAGAATCTTTCAAATAACTGTCAGACTCTGTTCCGTGTTTTGTGGTTGTTTTCCTCATGTGCCTTCCTTTCCCATGTTTAATTTGTCCCAGGTGTTTCCCATGATGTTTCATTGCTCCCAGGTGTGTCTCGTCATCCCCTCCTCCTGTGTGTATAAGTAGGCCGGTATCAAATTTTCATGTTGCGATTAATTGCTAATGCTTTTATCACGGTATACGGTATTATCACGATGTTGAAATGTAGTTTTAAAAAAGTGCTGTCATAATACAGTATAACAGGTTTAACTTTTTTTTCTTACAACAAAAATAACTGAACGTTTAAATGCAATACAGAAAAATGTATAAAGTTAAAAGTTTTACATTAGGCACAACTCTCTGCAATTTACTTTGTTTGATGCCACTAGATGCCAAAAAGTAGCAGAAAAAATAATCTTTCAAATAACAGCTTCTAAACAGGAGTTATTGAATTATAACCGAAGTGAGTAAAATTGTACCTTTTTTGCGTCTAAAAGTATCTTTGTGAGTTTCCTTTGCAAAAACAGGTTTTATAAATCATATTGCCCCCAGAATCCTATTTTACTATGTGCCATAGCACTTTTCTTGATTATTGACTGAATTATGTTTCATTTTTATGTTTGTCTAAGTAGTAATATACAAAATGGCATAAGCGAATTATACCAAATATCAAATTTTGTGTTTTATACAGTTTTTTTCTTTCAGGAGACACAAGACTCTATAAATTGTCAAATCCGTGTGATTTATTACAATCTAAAACAGAATCCACATCCTCCAGCTTTATATCATTCCATTTATGTTCATAATTTTAGTCCCCTGTCCCCTACATCACCTCTGCTTCAGCATCCTACCTCTGTCAGCATCCTGCCTGCCTCAGCATCAGCATCCTGCCTGGAGATCAGACACGAGCTGCACTGCTAGCTCCGAGCTAACTGCTTCTGGCATGAGCTCGCAGCTGCTATCTGGTCTTCAGAATGTGAAACAAAGAAATAGCTGTTTATAAACACAGCACTGTAATAATATCCATGTATATTTACTGAAACGCATCCTGTACTGTACTTTACTGTCAATACATCGTTTATCAGATTGTTAGCTGTGCTTTTACGTTTCAAAATAATGATTCTATCAAAAAAGGAGCAAAAGCGCTCATATGTGCTCACCAGACGCGCGTCCTCTCCTCTCCACCGCGCCGCTGAACGTTCTTCATCATATATAACTTTCATTATAATGTTCATAGATTGCCATTATTCGAGCCGCCGATGCGTTTATCTTCCAGCGTGCATTATCGCCTTCAAAACAGTCAAAGAAAACTACAAGACCCACGCTCAAAACAGCTCCAGCGTTGACCCGGATCCTCTCTCTCCCCCCTCCTGTCTATTGACCCAGAGGTGTCAAATTTCACGGCTCTGAATGGCCCGGCAGTGGTGTATAATCTGACCTATTGCCGCCCACTGAGCAGCCCAGAGTAGCCCAGAGTTGTAGAACATATGAACCACTGGCCGGAGCTGCTATGACTTGGAGAGCGCGTTTGCCAAAAGAGCGTCTTTTTTTCTCTGTTGTGTAGCTGGACAAAACGTTATTATCAGGGTCCGCTGAGTTTAAGTAGTTTAAGCAAGGCAAGTTTATTTATATAGCACATTTCATACACAATGGCAATTCAAAGCGCTTTCCATAGAAATAATAAAAAACAGTACTCATTAAAAGTAATACAAAAAAATAATACAAATCTGAAAAATCGATAAATTATATAAATGATAAAATGTGTCAGAAAAGAGTAATCCTTGTTGACATTGAATGTTTTTTTTTTTTTATCCACTATAGGCAGTGTTGGGAAGGTTACTTTGGAAATGTAATAGGTTACAGATTACGTTACCCTACTTAAAATGTAATAAGTAGTGTAACTTTTCAATTACTTTATTAAAGTAATGTAACTGATTACATTTGATTACTTTTTGATTACTTTTCTACATTTTTTATGTTTTCAACTGTTTATCATTTTCAAACATGTCAATTACTTTTATTTTGTAATTAAATTACGTAATTCCGTTACATGTAACTAGTTACTCCCCAACACTGACTATAGGGCACCCCTTGTGCTCTAACAGCCATTTTGCAAAGCCACTGTTACAGTGCAACAGGTTCTCATAACATCATGCTGAAATATCTTTAAAAATAAACCTAATTTCTAACACTGGGATCCATAATAATGTTTACATATTACACCAAAACATTATTTGTCACTTAAAAAAAAAAATGTTGAATACTAAAATGTCTTTCTTTGCTTTGTCCTGTCTTATAGCAGTATTATTTTTGGCGCAGGGATGTATAGAAAATGACAGTTTTATTGTGTGTTTACTAATTCTTTGTCATTATGATTAAACATATAATGATTCAATTTAAAATTTGTAAAGACTGGCAACTGAATTTAAATAAAGTTATTGTTAAAAGTGTTAAATGGCCTACTTCTAATGTATGTATGAAAAAATGTATATAAAAAAAAAAAACTCATTAATAATCAAAATTATTACATCTATGAAAGAATTCAATTATCAAAAATCAATCTTTTTATGTACATTTTCAGGTTTACAATCTTGTCTGTGAACTACTGAAACCACAGTTTAACTGTCATTTTGCAATGTCTTTGTCAGTGCTGTATGATCTTGATTTTCAGGCTGACAGATTTGCTATATGTTCTCTGTACATATTAAGCATGTTGTAGAAGCTCTGCTGTCTGTTCAGTGCTCTGATAGCCATTAAGCTTGCAGTCCAAGAATTGAGGCCTCTGTCCTCTGCCCGATGCTCCAGAGTCATTGAGAAGCGTGATTGTGCATGGAGAAGGCTTCTACATCCAGTCACAGTCCTGTACAGGGTCTCAGCATGCAGCTGCAGTGAAACATCTTGCCATGCCCCCTGGAAGAGCTGCACCATGTCCTCCACCAACTCTGGTTTGTAGCCTTCATCAAGAACTTCTTTAGGCCAACCTGGAGCCAAGGTCACATATGGAAAGATTTGATCAATGGTTCTCAAGAATTCCGCTCCTGTCACATAGTCTTGAATATAGAAAGCTCCATGTGCTATGTCCATGTTGACCCAGGTGGGGTGGTGCAGCAGGTCTCTGTCATATGCCTGACGGAGGAGCTCCAGTGTGAGGCTCAGCTGACTCTTGGACTTTATCCTTAGGTAGATTCCCCATGACTTCTTGGAGGCAAGAATCAGCTCCAGGCAGTCCTGTAGAGGCAGTTCAGGCTGGGATCCATGAATGACGGGAATGTTTGGTTGACCTACACTAGATATTACTGGGATCACCAGCATTCCCCCTTGGCTGTCTGCAAAAAATACTTGCATTACTATTTATCAAGATCTATGCATTTTCACATTATCACAGCTGTTAAAATCACACCTTCGAGCAGATATAGCAAATAATCTTTATTGGTCACTGTGTCCCACTGGATGTTGAGTCCATCACGGTTCATCGGCCTGAAATAGTCAATTATGTCCCCACCTGGATAGAATCTTCTGGGTCTGTTTCCCAGCTCTGAGAAAAGAAGATGCCTGTGTTACTGATATAAACAATTAGGGATAATTTAAAATGATCGAAATTCTGACAATTATTTTCATGTTATGAGATATAACCGATAAATAAAAACCTATGCTATTCTGTTTAAATAAATAAAAAAGAAAACACTAAAAAATAAAGTCAATCATTTGAAATGTTTCAAGTTAATTTATGTAATAACAACATAACAACATTACAATGTACAGTGTTAAAACTGTATATACATTTTAAACATTTGCAAAAGATTACAGAAGTCATTCAAAAACCAAGTAGCTTTCTGTTGATCAGTACGGCGAATTTGCATGAAAAACAATGCATGAAAAAGACAATGCAAAATCTACATGGGAATTGGTCTTCCTTTATGCAAAGAAGAAGAAACATTTTGGGTTCATAAAATAAACTTTTGTTGAGCAGTTGTACAATTACATGTCCAATATCAAACAAAACCTCTAAAAAAACTCTAATAAGGCAGATAACCAATATTATACCAATATATTGTACATCCCTATACACTATGTGAGGTTTAATATGCAAGACCATGATGTCACTTACTTGCAGCTTCTTTGAACTGTGAGAGCACAGGCTCATAGATGTCATAATAGATGCGCAGAGGGTTGCTGTTGTCTCTGATGAAGAGAAGGTCATTCACGGTGGGGTTCTCCTTTCCTTGCCACAGGGTTAAACTGAACCTGTATCATAACCAGTCCAGAACATAGTATAAACACAATATATATATTTTTTTTTTTACTGGAATGAGTTAACTAAGTTACCTTGAAGACTGGCTGAGCAGCCAGCTCAGGTGTGGCCACCCATTCTTGGCCATCAAAGCATGGACAGGAAAGGTGATTTTCTGAGGGAGGTGTCTTACAATAGAGTACATCTCTTCCACCATACTGCGTGTGTATGTCACATTAGGGAAGATGGAAAGATAAAGAACCTTCCATCCTGGAGAGATGGTGACGTCAGGAAATTTCAGCTGAATGTGCTCAAAAAACCTTACAATAAAAAAAGGCAGCAATTGAAAAACACCATTAAGCAATCAGCAGATCACAAAATTAGTTATGTTGTTCAGAATATCATTATCATTACATATTAATTGCATTCCAGACCCTGTTTTGACAAGATTTTTCAGGGCCTCTTTCTTCACGTTACACAGTTACGGCAGTAGGTGGAGATAAGTGATCGTCCATATGAGTGACCATTTATTAAACCATTCATTCCCTCAATTTGTTTAATCACAGTAATTCATTCAGGAATGAAACAACTGCCTGTTTTAATGAGCGAGTCCCTGTTTTTTTTTTCTTTTTTCATTTAACTCAACTGTTTTATTCGGGAATGAATCACAACTACCCCAGCTAACAATTTTTGGTTCCCAAAACATTCTGGGAATAATCATTTTTTATTATTAAAATAAAATCTAAAAAATACCTTGTTCATGAATATTATGGGTACTGTAGGTTCGCTTTCGGTTTTCGGACTAAAAAACAAACAAACAAAAAAACAAAACAAAACAAAAAAAAAAAAACACCACCACAACAACAACAACATTCTGAAAAGAACCTACAGACAACATTCCTAGAATGTTATTGTTTCCCAAAAATAACCAAATGTGAATCATAAGAGAACATAAGGTGAGCGTTCTGAGTTTTGTTTTGCATTGTTTTATGTAAAATGACCTTTGGTGGAGCAAAACATATATATACATAACTGGAAATATTTGGTCTATAATGTAAGTTACTCAGCTTCTAGTTTGAATAACTCTTGTACAAAAGCAATGCACAGCATCATACTTGCAGTGCTGCTTGGTCTAAATACCAGGACAGCCTGTTCTCTTTACCTTTTACTGTAACTACACATAAGCATCAACCCCGTCCACGGTTGACTCGTGTCTTTACCAACTGCTCAAGTGAGGATTTTACTGCATTATATTTCGAACTACGTGCCAATCAGGACATGTACTCATCTTTAAGCTATCTGGATGCTGATGAACATTTAAACTTTTTTAATTCCAACTGTTCTAATATTTTAAATGTTGTTGCTCCTCTTAAGGTGAAAAAACATAAGCACAACTCTAAGCCTTGGCTCAGACAGATCTGTAGAAGGGCTGAACGTAAGTGGAATAAGGATAGATTCTCCTGTGGAATCCTAAAGGACTCCCTTTCTGCATTTCAGTGAGCTGCTAATGTGTCCAATCATAAATATCTCTCAGAGTTGATTTTATGTAACAGTATCAGGCCTAATGCCTTATTTTCAATAATTGATTCTGTTCTCAATCCCACTATTAATAATTTTCAAGAGATGTCTGACTCTCTCTGTGAGGATTTTGCGAGATATTTTAAAGATAAGATCTCACTGATTAAATCTCTAATGCCTTTGTCAGCCTATACGCCACTTGATGTCCCCTTTTTCTCCTCTACATGGTCTGTCTTTGAACCTATCACCTTGGACTCCCTTAATGAGATTGTTGCAAGTTTAAAACCTACTAGCTGCTCTCAGGATGTGATTCCCACACATTTTCCTAAGCAAGTTTTTCAAGCTATCAGCTAAAATTTCAAACATTTTTGAAAAAGCTGTCCTAAGCCAATGTCTGTCTTTTTTTGAAGGATAAATATACATGAGAAATTTCAGTCTGGTTTTAAAGCCAGTCACAGCACCGAATCGGCCCTCTTATAATTCTCACCACTGATACCTGGCAATCTATGGCTTTGGTCTTGCTAGACCTTAGCTCTGCATTTGACTTGGTCGATCACAATATTCTCTTATCATGTCTAGAAGCATGTGTGGGCCTTCGGGGTATGGTGCTATAATGGTTCTGCTCATATTTAACTATTCTGTCTGCCTCAAGCACCATTCCTCCTCTGATATACATTTAAGTTCGGGTGTTCCTCAGGGCTCTATTCTTGGCCTGGTACTGTTCAATCTCTACATGCTCCCTTTGGGTTCTATTTTATCTAGATATGGTGTATCTTTTCATCTGTATGCTGATGACACACAAATTTATCTGCCCATAAAGCATGACGATAAGCTTGCCTTAAAGCCTATATTAGACTGCATGGACAAACTAAAACTTTGGCTAACTAGTAATTTCTAAAGTTTTAATGAGAGTAAGACTGAAATTATCTTGTTTGGTTCAAATGATCGCAGCATTCATGACATTGATCTTGATACTCTGTTACCATACAGTACCACCTGTGTTCAGAATCTGGGGGTTTTGCTTGATAACAGTCTTAAATTTGAGAAGCAGATATGTGCTGTGGTTAGGTCTCGTTTCTATCATCTTCATCTTTTAGCAAAGGTTAAGCCCTTTTTGTCTGCTAAGAACTTTGAAACTGTCCTGTACAGGGGCGTCATGCACTCATTATTTTTGAAGGGGCACAAGTTGGGGGGGTCAGTTATGTTTTATTTATTTTTTCCTTTTTATTCGAAACATCCCCAAACGCATTAACTATATAATAATTAATTAATTAATTTATGCATTTAGCAGACACTTTAAAAGCGACTTACAGTGCATTCAGGCTATACATTTTTTACCAGTATGTGTGTTCCCTGAGAACTGAACCCACGACCTTTAGCACTGCTAATGCAATGCTCTACCACCGAGCCACAGGAACATGAAACATCTAGCATAAAATATTTTGATTCTCACCTTATAGATTATGTTGATCTATAGTGGGCAATGGTTAAAGTAACCTAATAATGTAATCTATTAACTATGCATAAAAACCTGTCTGTTTATTAATTAACAGATATGGATGTCATGCCATAACATATTTTAATACGACTGAGTTTATATTTAATGTGAATTTAACATTGAATGTTAATGTGAATAAAAACATTGCAAGTTAGGGTACTTATCAGAACACTTTCATTGTACAGAAAGAGAGCAAAGAACATTTACATTATCAAAGAACATCACTGACAGTCTAGTTCAAGCACTCTCAAACACTCCCATTAAAACCACTGAAGCTGTTTACACTATGAAATTAATATCTTACAGATTCGTACACACATTTGCACTTTGTTGTTTCTGACGAGAGAATTCGCCAGAAAGAGGTATACATTCAGCGAGCGAGTGAAGAAAACACTGGCATTTTAGCGATTACTCATCTGAACACCTCTGATTGGTCATTGCATTCATAAGCTCAACAGCATCGTGTGTGATTGGTTGATGCGCAGTGCTATAAAAACGCGTCTGTATCTGGCTCAGTGCCAGCCAGCGAACGCAGATTTGAATTTAGCAGCTGATGATATGACGCACTGAATGTTATAATCACGCCGGTGTGATTGTATTAAATATAGAAAATATTAATCGGCTATTTTTTTGTTTTTGGAAGCTGCATTCAAAATCCACTTGACTCAAAAATCTGAGGGGGCACGTGCCCCCTCACTTTGAATGGGCATGACGCCTCTGGTCCTGTATGCATTTGTACGATCCCAATTAGACTACTGTAACTCTATGTATATTGGTGCCCCTCAGACATGTCACATGATTGCAGTTAGGTATGCCACAGCTAGGTGAACACATCACACCTGTTCTGATTTCACTTCATTGGCTACTGCTCAAATACAGAATTGACAAAGTTTTGTTATTTGTTTTTAAGTCTTTGCGGAACCAGGCACCACAGTACCTATATGAACTACTACATCCGCCCTCACAAGCAAGATCGCTCAGATCTGGGGACTCTGAACTACAATATGTTCCTAGAACTAGACTTAAAAACAGGGGTGATTGCACTTTTGCGGTCATCGGTCCCAAGTTATGGAATAGCCTTCCAGCTTCAGATCCGCCCAAACCCTGTAAATTTTTAAATCCACCTTGAAGACTTACTTTTCTCAATGGTCTTCAATATCCCTTGATTCTCATCAGCATTTAACATCCTTTGATTCAAGCTTTTCCCTCTATTTTCCCTTATTTCATAGGTTTTTCATTTTTTTATCATACTTTTATTGTTCCTATATCGTTTAAACATTTTATGTGTTTTTTACTGTCTGTTTTCTTTTAGCTTTTGTAAAGCACTTTGGTTAACACCAGTTGTTTTTAAATGTGCTATACAAATAAACTTGTATTGTATTGTATTAAGAGCCACTTGCCTAAATTGAAGAGTATCCATGTTTTACTATTAAAATGAGATATTTACTACGATCTTACTCTGAAGCATTGATTACTGGCCAGAAAACAGGGACATTAGGACCAGGAAGAATATCTGCATTTATCCACACCGGGCGGTTGATCCCCGTTTGGTTTTTTACTCTCAACAGATCCAGTGAGGGTTCCACAGCATTGATACTTTTAAAATCCAGCTTTATCCCTAAAGAAGAATAGACACAAAGCAATGTACATTATGTCTTCTGTATATAAAAGCAGATGTTCCAGGTACAGTTTCAGGTTGTTCACCTTTCTTTGATTTGAATACAGCTTCCAGCCACTCCTCCAGAGTGTTGTCACTGTATATGTCCGGTGGATGGGCCATGATGGGAATATTGGTTTCATTAGCTGTGTTATAACCTTTCACATTTACATCAGCCTCTAGGATCATGACATCACCTGTAATATATTCAGTTAAATGAGTTTTTTAAGGTATTTCCTTACATAACATATGTAATATTATATCATATGTTATCAGAGCTCTTAACATAAATGGTGTGATCTCTTATCTAACACAATGCATATCACAGGAATAAGTTTATTATGCAACTGGTGATTGAATTGATTAAAGCGCAACCTTGAACAGTTAATCTTGTTAAGATAAAACAAAAGATCACTCTTACTGTTCAAGGCCTTGTTCATCTCAGTTTTATTGTTGGCTGCGTGATACCATGTTGCATAAAGACCATCTTTCTCCTGAATTTCTCCAATTTGGAGGAGAAATTCAAGCATGTCTCCATCAGATGGGAAAGGCTCCATTTCCATGTCAATTGAAGCATCTGAGATCACGCACAAGCAGTATTCAAATTGAACAACATTCAACAGGACAAATCAGTATTGATTTTTTAAATTTACTCTGACATTCATAATGCATACAATTTCATAATATATACCTGATCAATGGTGATGCATATGGAAAATTCTGAACTCTATATCAAGCAATATTTAATGGCATACAGTTTATTGTAACATATTCAAAAACACTGAAGAGTCTCCATACCTGATCTTGTGATCACAAACACTGAAGTTAAGGTAATGATGAGAAGAAGTGCAATCAGTCCGATAACAACACATAACATGATGAACTTCTCTCTTGTAAAGATCCCCAGAAATGTTTTTGGTTCTTTCCTTTCTCCTTCCTCCTCACTGTTGCAGTTCTTTTCATCTTTTTGTTCCATTGTTTTGCAATATCAGATATCTAAATGTTCACTCAACGAGTCATTGCATCAATGTGCAGCTGCACAATGACTCTGTTTTCTCTGAGGTCCAAACTGCCTTTTATCTGCAGACCATAAAATGGTGTGATAGGCCGCACTTTGTATTCTTGCTGTCTTGTTTGCACCTCTATGCAAATATTAAACAACAAACTCCTCACACTTATTTGTAACAGAAGACAAGGAGATTTTCCATATCTGTGGCCTTGCAGACAAAAATACTTGCTTGTATGATACATATAATATTACATATGTACTGTACATAAAAAAAAACATTCTTTAAAATGGTGCAAATAAAAGATTATTTGAGTGTTTAAAAAGAAAATGCTACCTTTCTACTTTAAAATTTGAGGTTTACCTCAATGTTACTTGCTGTTTCTTTTTTAACTATTTGTGAAATGTACTAGCAATTTCTGAGTGAAAATTGTTTAAAAACGTAAATCCTACACCATTTATTTTTGTGTATAATAAAATGCAAATAACTTAAAACAAAACTACACTTCATTAAATGTCCATATTTATCAGACATTTATCAAATGAACTAAGCTGTGCATGTTATCTGTTACATTATCTGTAAGGAATAACATTATCGGATTTTCTTATCGAGTGATGTTTGTGGCCTGTTGGTTGTTTTTTCGGGTAAAATGAGTCTTAACTTCCTCTTTGGTGAGCCCTCAGCTGAAGATACATATACTTGGATGACAGGTGCACCAGAGCTAATCAGGTCTGAACTGCTGGACTGATCCACCACATCCTGTGGAGCAGTGGATTCACTCACAGGAAGTGCAATATTTGGATTGGATAGCTGCTGAGTGTCACTGGAATCCAGATCGTCGGGGTGAGATGGAGCTGTAAGACAGTTGTGATAATCTGGAAGAGCTAAATTGAGTGTTAGTGGGAGTGTTGATGCCATTTCAGTTTCTCCCTGAACAGAAATATAATTTTGACCGTTTTCTATAGTGACATCATCTGTATCCTTAGACAGGGACTTTGATTCCTTGTTTCCTTTTTTAGCATGCTTCTTTTTAGAGATATCTTGTATAGTATCATTTTCCTCTTCCTCACTTCCTGAGCATTCAATGTTATCTTTAGATTTTTTGCTAGTTTTATTTAATTTTAATTTATCTTTTTTGTCCTTTTTGCTTTTCAGTTTTTCCTTCTTACCCTTTTTGTACATCTTGTCTTCTTCAATATCTTCTTTGTCAGTGGACTTTGGATGAACTCTGCTTTTTTGAAGGGGGTTTAAATTTAATTTAACTTTCAGTGTCCTCTTTGCATGTCCTCTGGTTATCTGGGTTTTTAAGTGTCCTTGTGTGCTGCTCTTAGTCTTACCCAGCTTTCGGGGGGTTTTCTGTGCAGATGTTTTAAAGTCTTTCATCCTGCTTTCCTTTTTGTGTCTGTCAGCCATTGTGGTGAGGACATGTTCCTCAGTCCCAGCTAGATCAAAAGTAACACTTCTTTGAGAATCTAATTTAAAGCCCAGCTCGGTAGCTTGACCTTCACCATGTCTCCCAGCGTTTGACTTGTCATAACCCAAGTTGTCTTTGTATAGCATGGCATTGTACATTTGTGCTCCGTTTTGAACTGTGTTCTGTGAGTGAGTTGTAAACGTAAAGTTCTGGTTATTACTCCCAGCTTGTCTGTAATCATAAGTCTGATGACAGTGCAGACAACTGATGGTTTGGTAAATCGGTTGAGCAACAACGTCCTCAGCCTGGTGCTTTAACAGTGAGTGATTTCCTTGAGTTATTTCATCGTGGATTTGGTCTGGGGGTCTGAATGTGCCTCTCTGGAGGGCCGAGAAATGATTACTGAGGGCCAGCTGCCGTATTCTGACAGCTGAGATGTCATTTGAACCCCCACGATGTTGGGAAGAAGTACCCTGACTGCCCAGATAGTTGTTTGGAATGCCTGCCAAACTCTCTCTCTCATTATGTCTTTGTCCACCTATATCTGTGAATAAAACAGACATTTGAAATTTAAATTAATTAAATTAGTAATTTAAAACAGATATTTGAGAATGTGCTTAGAGGTATAAAACATCTAAATAAACTAGATGTCACCACTGGAATTGAAGAAATGGAAGGTGCTGCTATGCAGTTAACAGTTGGTTGTTTACAAAAGATTAGTTTTAAATACTGATATAGATTTATATATAATAACTTATGTATGCAATATAGGTTTGTATATGTAATAAGTTACAATCGACTATAACTATACTATAACAAAAACAAAAAATAAAAATATTTATTTATAAATATAATAGTTTATAAATAACACTAAAGTAATAAATACTGGTTGGAAATCATGAGATTAAACATTCATTTGTTCTATTATATGTTTTCTTCCTAAAAGAATATTCTTAATGGTAGATTATAAAATATATAATTTTATTTAAATGTATTATTATTAATATTATAATATTAAATGTTTTTCCAGATAATAATTTTACGCGTATTTGTAATATTTTCTAAAAAATACAGCAAGAAGGTCATTATATTTGTGGGTCTATGGCAGTTAAAAGGTTTGAAAACCTCTTCCTTTGCAGACACTTTTAAAACATTTCAAAGCAAATGGTGTGCTTGCTAGTTTACCTTTGATCCTCTGTTGCAACACAGAATTTTGATCATTCCCTTCCTGTTGGCGATTAGTCAGCTGTTCACCTACATGAGTAGCTTTCTGCAGGACAATCTCTCTTTTGTGCTTTCCTACCGCATGTGCTGTAGAGCTGCACTTGTGACAGGTGAAATGACTCTCCAGCATGTCTGATCCCAGATAAGGAGAGTCTTCTCTGTCCCAGGGCTGATGGGATTTGTAGTTGCTGTTGTATAGTGCATGGCACTTAGTTAGAGTGTCCTTGCCTTGGCAGAAATTCCACTGAGTTGATTCCAGGCCAGACTCCCCAACTCTATTTTCCTTCTGCACCAGTTCAAATTTCTTACTGAGTTTGTGGTATGCAATGACAATCATTCCCAGGGTGATCCCAACACCACCTACAATTAAAAGCAGAATATATATATAAATAAATAAATACATATAAACATACATATGCTGTATATATATATATATATATATATATATATATATATATATATTTTATTAATTTAATAATTTTATTAATAAATTGTCATGGGGTGTCGATCTAATCAGCTATCAAGTAAAAATAAAATATTTTCATACACCTTGAATATGTGAGTATACACATCTTATTTATTATTTTCAAAAATGTTTTAAAATAACTTTTCATGGAAAAAAGTAATCTATGAAAAATAGCCTAAATTATTAATTTATAAATAGCATTATGTTTCTGTGCAGTCACACCACATAACATTTTACAACCTAAACAAACCAATCTTATCTTGTCTTAAAATGATCTGATATTTGAATAGAGTCGTGAGCATATCATTTCTTCTTTTTTGTTTCCGCACATCAATCACACCCCATGACTTTTTGGATTAAACAGCAACAAAAACAATCAAAACAAAAACAGTTAAATGTCATTCTTTTAATCACCTTGACTTATATGTATGCTTTATTTTTGAATAAATAAAAGGAATAGTTCACTCAAAAATGAAAGTTGAAAATTTACCTTAGGCCCTCAGGCTATAAAACATAGATTGGTTTCTTTAACAGATTGGGAGAATTTTTGGCTACGTTATAATGGATTATGGACATGTGTTTTGGCCAGAAGTGATAGTTTAAAGTTAAAACCCCTTAAAGATGGATTTGTTTCTTACAGACACATAGCTTTTCATTTCACAAGACACTAATTGATGGACTGGAGCCATGTGGATTACTTGTGGATTATTGTGATGTTTTTATCAGCTGTTTGGACATTCACTGCAGAGAATCCATTGTTGAGCAAGTTGCTAAATTTCTCTAAATCTGTTCCAATAAAAAAAAAAAACTTATCTACATCTTGGGTGGCCTGAGGCGGAGTAAATGTTTAGCAAATTTTTTGGTGAACTACTTCTTTAAGACTATATAGTCATGTCCTCAGCCTTATAATGAAAATAGGTAGAAAGTTTTGGTATCAAGCATTTGCATTAAATACTCACCCAAAAATGAAAATACAATGGCAATAGCAACATTTCTAATATATTGCTCAGAAGTGATATATCTTTTAGCCACAGCCTCCACTGTTATATTCCTGTTTGGTGGGACACAGTTAGCGTCAGTCAATTCCAGCACAGCTTGCACAGCTGCATTATCTGTATTCACACACACCATCCTCTGCCCATTGTACAATACTTTTTCAGGAGCCTGAATGTAACTTTTGAGAAATGAGGCCAGCTCTCTCAACTCACATGTACAGCTCCAGAGGTTCAAATCAAGGTTCAGCACTGAGAGCCATGACAGATAAGAGAATGCATCTGGAGCACTGCGTAGATGATTGCGGGACAGATCGAGTCTGCGGAGATGAGGAAGCCCTCTGAAGCTATCACATCCTAAGTACACGATGAGGTTGTTGGACAAGTCCAATGTTTCCAGGTTCCTCAGATCAGCATGGGCAAAGGTTGTGGAGTTCAAGCAGTTGAGGAAGTTCCCCTCTAGTTGAAGTGTTTTTAAAGCTCTAGAGCTTTGAAACCAACAACCCTCAATGTCACTCAAATTGTTGTTACCAAGCTGGAGAGTCTCCAGTCTGTGGAGCCAGGAAAATGTGGAGCTGTCCAGGGATTGGCTGGAGATGTGGTTATGGTCCAGCAACAGCGTAGTTAGAAAAGAGAGGTTCTGAAAGGCATTCTCCATGATGCTAGAAATGGCGTTGTTGCTGAGTGCCAGAACACTCATGTTGGATAATTCAGAAAGGACCATGTTGTCCACAGAATCAATGAGTCCATCAGTGAGCATCAAAGCTTTAGTAGAGCCTGGTGCATCTAAATATGATGAATAAAAACAGTTGTTACCAAAACTCCATACTTCAGGAAATTCTAATAAAAAAAGCTTTATATCAGTATAGACTA